TTAAGCTTGCCACAAGATGTGACCTAATCCATGAAACATGATAATAGACATTGGGACAACAAATTTTACACAACTACAATGGCATGCATTTTATATATATTTACCTGGCCCTTTCGGGAGAGTGTCGTTTTTTATGAGGAATATGTTTCTAACTACTTTTATCAGTCACATTGTTTACAACTTTGCCTAGAAATCAACGTTAGTCTGTACTAGGGTTTGCGGTTCTTAGTTCGCTCTAAGATGGATAGACAGATGTCAAACTAATATAGTACATGACCAGAACACGCAGTTGGCTCTGCGTCGTCACCACCAGTGATTGTCCTTTGTCTAAACAATGTCAGAATATCGATGACGGGGGAGACCTCCAGCAAGCGCGAAGCGTCACTGCAAAACGTGGTTGCACTGAGGGCATTGGGGCGGATGCCTTGGGGAGTAGTAGTGTTCTGAGCAGCAGACAGTGGATCGAGGGTGATTTCATCACAGATCAGTGCTAAGGATGACATATATGACCCCCTGAATAGAACATAAGAATAGAAATCGCTCGCGGTACAGGTGTTTTGTGCCGGATTCCAGGGCAAATAGGGCCAGGTTTATGGTTAAGGTAAGGAGTTAGTCTTAGGGGTTAGGATACTGCGTAGGGTAAGGGTCAAGAGTGCGTTCACGGTTTAGATTTATGCTGGGGCTAGTGTTAGGAACCCTATAATAGACTGTCACCGGATTAGGATCCGGAAATATTGACTCCTCCTGGAAGTATGCGCAGGGCCACCTTTATTAAGTGGGTGGGGCATTCTTACTCCCCTGTCTTGCTTAGGGATCTATATGAGTAATCCTTATGGAATCACTCCCCCGTACCCATAAGGTTGTTGATTCTGGCAGGCGTCCGGTGTCTGATCTAAAGTCAATTTCTCCCGTTTCTGTATTTTTATTACTCTAATGGGTGATGTCAAGTCGGCGGCCGAGTGAGGCATGAACTGGTGATCCTCGTTTGAGGGGAATTTCATCAGCAGCTCCGTCTATGCAGAAGGCGGACAAGTCCGCAAATGCAACGACACAGTCCTTTATGCCATACTCTACAAGCAAAAACGGTGGACGAAGAATGGTCGACTGTGGATTTCGCGTTCTGGTTTATTTCAATGATCCTCCTCCTGTGTTTTAATTTTTCTTCTGAGCAAGGCTCATGTAAGAAGAAGAAGAGCATATTCCGGGGCCGAATAAAAGGTCATGGTGTAAAACCATGCGCAACCAATACCCCCAAACAACGTGTCCACATGGGGACTTGGAGTGACGTGAAAGTTCCCTGCCCCAAGTCTACCAATGATCTCTTATTCATTCTACGTTTGATAACCACGGCCATTGCTGCTAACTTTCAAACGTTTATTCTCATTTCCTAATCAAGCTATCGTTAGGTTAACCTGCTACTTTTAAAAGCCTCAGTTCTTGAATAATAATTTAGTTAACAGAGTATTAATGTTGGTGCATAGGTGTTCGCCGATCGGTTACGGGACGCACTCGTCCAGTTATGCCTTGGGACTCGCTCTCGAGCCCCGCTAGCAGCCGCACAGCGGCTAGTAGTATAAGCAGAATAATATTGCCGACAAAGACCAGGGCGACTTAAAAATCAACTTCTGGCTTATTAGTCCTGGGTGATCGTCACTTGTCCCAGAAACTTTTTCAGCTCCTCGTCGTTGCAGATGGCGAGTTGAAGGTGAAGGGGGATGATTCTGGTCTTCTTGTTGTCGCGAGCTACGTTGCCTCCCAACTCGAAGAACTCGGCGGCCAGATAGTCGAGAACAGCGGCCAAGTAGACTGGGGCTCCGGCACCGACACGTTCGGTATAGTTGCCTTCGCGCGGAATTCTGTGCGCACGGCCAATCGGAAACTGGAGGCCGGCACGAGAAGACCTGGTTTTTGACTTGACGCAAGTTTTGCCACCTTTGTCGCGACCAGGTATGTTGAATGATCAGAGATACGTTTCCAACCTCAGATGTTACATCAACCGAGGTGCAAACCCGTGACCTGTTGATTAGAAGTCCAACACTCTGGCCAGGTCGCGGGTTCAAGCTTTGGGGGGCACACTACCTGGGATTGGATATTTCTAGCTGATTAGGGCTGATGACTCAGAAATGGCCATTCTAGTCCCCTGGTATTATTAGGTAATATCTTCCTGCCCATATAATTGTATTGCTGTAATGGCAAGGTTCAGAGGATAAGCTTTCGCTTGATCTAATTGAGCGTATTCAGTACACTTTATAAAGAATTTCCGGTATACGCAAAATAGCTCCTGTGAAGATTAACATCGACACAAATTAAATTCCCCGAATCACTCGATGGTTTATCTCAACTGTAATCAAAGTATGCCTTGTTCCGTAGATAAACGGCCTAGAACACTTTATAGCCCCTTACGGTGCAGTAGCTGACCAATTTTTGAACATGAACGCAGTTAGTCAGAGGAAGGTTATGGCCAACTGAGAGCGACAAGAGTATCTTATAAATGCTCTAGTAGATACTCGGACCTAAATTGAACCGGTGCACACTTTTTGCATTATCTGTGCCACTCGTAACCAAAACAAGTCGCAGTTGGATCCTCCTCCTCTCCCTCCTACCGCGGCAGATGGTGCTACTTGTCTTCCCCGTGGCTGGAGATTGTTGGTAGGCATCCTTCGTTTAATGACCCCGCGTTCGCTGATGTCTCAATTTTTGGTCGGCGCATAGTCATGAAAAAGACATAAAACTTGCGGTCGTCGGCTTTTTCCGGCAGACATTTCCATCCGCGGGATCTGACACCTGTCCGTATGGAGGCCGAAC